CAGCCTCCTGAGTAGCTGGGATTACAGGCACGTGCCACCATGCCCAGCTAATTTTTTGTAGTTTTAGTAGAGACAGGGTTTCACCATGTTGACCAGGATGGTCTCGATCTCTTGACCTCGTGATCCACCTGCCTCAGCCTCCCACAGTGCTGGGATTACAGGCTTGAGCCACGGCGTCCGGCCTACATACACTTTTTTAACTGAGCTATCTTAAAACCTCACAAAGATATGGCAATAGCAAATATGACATTGCTTCTTAAGTGTTTTGAAAGGCATAGGACATAGACCAATTCTGTAACTGAGAACATATATGTAGTTTTACTTTCTTGGAAGAATGGGAGCCCTTTAAGGGGAAGATTTCTTTGGCCCAATTCATAGTAACTACAAGAGATAAATGCTGTGGTTTTACGAAGAAGTTGTGTCAGACGCTATTTCAGTGGATTTCACTCTGGGGTGAATGGCACCACAGCATTCAAAATAATTCATTTGGGAGAAGCAACAATGGGGAAGGAGTGGTGAGGGGAACTGGGGAACAGTAGGAGGAATGTTCCAGAAAGAGAAGTCCTAACAGAATGCCATAATCTATAGCCATCACTTAACTCCTCCCACTTGCCCTCATCTTTCAGAGAAAGAGGAAAATCATAACTACCTCTGATGCCTGGGAATTCATTCCTCAGCAGGTGCTGGACCAAGGGTTTTATAAAGATTAGTTCCTTTAATCTTTGTCGCAGCCCTCTGAGGTAGGTGTCATTATGATCCCTGTCTTGAAAAGAGGAAAGTGAGACAGAGCGAGCAAGCGAGAGGGGGAGAGACAGAGAGTAAGAGAGAGACTTAGAGAGAGAGAGAGAAAGATTTTCCAGACTCACATAACTGGTAACTGGCAAAGGGTCAAGTTCAGATTCACAGCAAGCTAAGGGAGGGAGCCGGTACCCTGGCTGCTAACCAGCACTCGTTCCTGCAGGCTTCTCAGGCTTTGCAAAAGATAACAAGGCCAGCGCTCATCTGTCACTCATCTGATATGTGATAAGAAGTCATTTCCATTCTAAGTTGGGTAGGGAGACAGTGGGATTTAGGTTGTAGGTAAATCATCCTAGCAGCAATGTGGAAAACAGATGCCTGGTGTCTCCATTTTCAACAAAATCAACACCTTTTCCCAACCAAGTAACTTTTTTAATGGATAATTTCTTTAAGCTTTTTTTAAAATTGTGGTAAAATATGCATAATAAAATGCACCATTTTAAAAATGATTTTTCAGTGTACAGGTCAGTGGTATTAAGTATATTCACATTGTTGTGCAACCATCATTCCCATTCATCCTAGCACTTCCTCATTAATCCCAAACTAAAACTCTGAACCCATTGAACACTAACTTGTTCCCCACTCTCCCACTCATTGGTAATCACCATTCCACTTTCTGTCTCTACAAATTTGTAGGTTTTTTTTTTTTTTTTTGTCGTTTTGTTTGTTTGTTTGTTTGTTTTTCTGTCTCTATAAATTTGACTACTCTAGGAACCCCATATTAAGAGGAATCATAGACTATGCGACCTTTTATATCTGGCTTATTTCACTTAGTACCACTTTTTCAAGGTTCATCCATGGGTAGCATGTATCAGAATTTCATTCCTTTCAGAGCTGGGTAATATTCCATCACATAGAGACACCCTATTCTGTTTATTCATTCATCTGTTGGTGGACGTTTGGGTTGCTCCCAAACTTCAGTTCTTGTGAGTAATGCAGCTATGAACTTTGTACTCAAGCCAAGTAGCATCTTCCATTGCAATGGCCCTGCCTCTTTTTACCGTCCCTTCCTCTATGCCTCTGCCCTACCACAGATTCAAACTTTTCAATGTTGTTACTGTAGCTACGTCAGCCTCACTGGTGGTGTCTAAAACCATTTCTTTCTCTCTGTCTTTGCAGTATCCAGTCCAGCCAGAAGAAGAGCGAAAAGCTCTCAACACCTCTTGACCAAGAATGTAAGGAAACTTCAGTTTTGATGCGCTTTGGTTGACTTTCATTTAAAAAGCAATGCCTGGCTTCTTCACTGTCCTCCCCTGGCTCTCAGTGGCCAGGAGAGTTTCAATGTTCCGTGCAGTGGGTGCTGCACTCGGTTCTCCACTTAACCAAAATAATTAGCAAATGTCAACCAGACACCAAGTGACCCTGAGCTGGACCTCTTATTCTGCCATTTTCCCCAGGCACAGAGAGGAAGCCTTGTTTTATACACACATTTTTTTTCTTGTTTAAACAGAGTCTATGTTGCAGACATAGCATTCCTGATCTAGGTGTTTTCCTATTGTTGGCATTCGTAATGTTTCATTTTTTTACTATTATTAGTAGCACAACAATGAATGTATTTATATAAAATACTAGTCTTTTGGATTAATTCCTCAGAGCATAGGTCTCGAAGTAGGATTAACAGGTAAAAGGATACGAACAATTTCATCCATCCGTTCATTCATCAAATATTTGCATTCCTGCTGTGTGAGGCAAACATTGTGCTACATGCAGAGAATCAGGATTTGGTAAAACTAGTTTTTTTTACAGTTTTGTCACATACTGTCAGGAATTCTGAACAATATGGGGGCTTCCAGTAATGCTTTTCCATTTACCACCAACATCACCAGCATTGGTTTTCCTCTTTTTGTATTATGTTTTGCTGCTTTAACATGCATATGCATTACCTTAAAATTAGTTTACATTCTTTAGAGCCTAATAATGCTGTGCATTTCCCATTTTATATATAAATTTCTTTACATAAAAACTGTCATATATCTTTGTGCTTTATTTTAAAATCGAAACTGAATTTTTTCTTGGTTGTACTGGAGTTTCTATTTCTATGACAATTTTTCATAGGATATCATTTCTTATTTCCATTTTTGAAGTATCTCAATTTTCAAAAACCTATTCTCTATTAAAAAATGTTTTGACTGGGCACCAGGCTCACATATGTAATCCCAACACTTTGGGAGATTGAATTCAGGAGGATAGCTTGAGCCCAGGAATTTGGGACCAACCTGGGTAACATAATGAGACTCCGACTCTACAAAAAAAGTCAAAAAATTAGTCAAAAAATTAGACAGTGGCTCATGCCTGTAATCCTAGCACTTCGGGTGGCTGAGGCAGGTGGATCACCCGAGGTCAGGAGTTCAAGACCAGCCTGGCCAACATGGCAAAACATCATCTCTACTAAAAATACAAAAATTAGCTGGGCATGGTGGTTCACACATGTAATCCCAGCTACTCAGGAGGCTGAGGGAGGAGAGTCATTTGAACCTGAGATGTGGAGGTTGCAGTGAGCCAAGATCGTGCTACTGCACTCCAGCCTGGGCAACAGAGCAAGAGTCTGTCTCAAAAGAAAAGAAAAAAAGAATAGAAAAGAAAAGAAAAAAGAAAGAAAGAAAATTAGCCAGGCATGGGGCTATGCTCCTGTTGTCCTAGCTACTTGGGAGGCTGAAGTAGGAGCCTGGGAGGTCGAGGCTACAGTGAGCCATGGTCATGCTACTGCACTCCAGCCTGGGCAAAAGAGTGAGACCCTGCCTCAAATTAAAAAAAAAAAAATTAATGTCCTGTGAATGAGATGAAGTTTTACTAGTTGTTATTTGTATGTAACATGTACATATACTATACATGTAAATATATACATGTATATAAATGTATTACCTTTTTAATTCCAAAAGCAGTACAGGATATATAAAATTTTATACATTACAATACAGTAGTCCCCCCTTATCTGCAGGAAACATGTTCCAAAATCTCCAGTGAATGCCTGAAACCATGGATAGTACTGAACCCTGTATTACTATGTCCTTTAAATCTAATAACTAGGATGGCTACAAAGTGACTAACAGGTGGGAAATGTATACAGAATGGAGACCCTGGACACAAGATTGACTCATGCCCCAGGAAGGGGGACATGGACTGGTGTGAGACTTCATCACCCTGCTCAGAGTGGTGCAAAATTTAAAACCTAAGATATATTTCTGGAATTTTCCATTTAATATTTTCAGACTCTACTTGACTGAGGGTAACTGAAACCATAGATGAGAGGGGACTACTGTATATTATCAGCAAATCCCGAGAAGCTGCAGAAGAGAGTGGTTAGGTGAGGAGACTTCAGAGTCCAATGGCCTGGGTTTAAAACCCAGCTCTATCCATTTCCAGCTATGTGACCTTGAGCAAGTTGCTTAACCACTGTGGAACTCAGCTTCCTTAGCATTAAAATGAGGATAATAAGAGAACATATTTCAAAAACCATGAGAAGGAGCAAATGAGTTTTTTTCTTCTACAACAAAGCCACATTTTTTTTATTTTTTATTTTTTAGCTAATAATTTAATGCATGTAAAATGTTTAGTCCAGGCCGGGCACAGTGGTTCACGCCTGTAATCCCAGCACTTTGGAAGGCTGAGGTGGGTGGGTCACGAGGTCAAGAGATGGAGAGCATCCTGGCCAACATAGTGAAACCCCATCTCTACTAAAAATACGATAATTAGCTGGGTATGGTGGCGGGCACCCGTAGTCCGGCCATGGGAGGGACTACATGGGAGGCTGAGGCAGAATAATTGCTTGAACCTGGGAGGCAAGGGTTACAGTGAGTCAAGATCACACCACTGCACTCCAGCCTGGAGAGAGACAGAAAGACACTCTCTCTCAAAAAAAA